TTGGAATGCGAGAAAAGGTGTCCCGTTGAGCCCACCCAGGTTTCATATTTTCTCTCTTGTTGTTTAAGGAGCGCATAATCTCATCTGTCTCCTGTCTCTGTTCTATGTTTATGGTTGTTTTAGGTCACGTTACCCATAACTGAAATGTGATATTTCCCCCGTGTATTATGTCAGGGGCCCATATTAAACTAGAGCTGTCCCCCCCCCTTTTTTTGCTGGTCTTGATTTGTGGCCAATCCATGATTTTTCTTGACTCCGGGCATTGTGCAGGAGCTGATGTTGGCAGGAGGTAAATGCTAAACTTGGTTTTCAGCCCGTGCCAAGCGGACCCCCTCGGCTCCCCTACTACCCGAGGGAAATGAGAGCCCAGCTTTTTGGCTGAATCTCTCTTTTCATCTCTACGTTGTTTGTTGGCGCCCGCGGGTTTTGGATTTTCCGCAGTCGAAGAATGAGCTGCTGCTCTTCACTCGGTTTGAGTGATGCCGGAGGGTGTGCACTTTGGCAGGGCTGAAATTAAGCATATGTACCGCTTCCCTGGCCAGGAGCTGCAATTTTGGCCCCCCGGGTGGTAGGAATACTTGTGATTGCCCAGTAAGCAGATAAAGGACGGCTCTAGGTTGTTAATATGGGCCCCTGAATGTAGTAGGGGAATATACATTCCCCAGTATGGTTTCGTGGTTACCCTAAAACACCCTGACAGTTATGAAGAATGCGAAGGGAAGATGTTTTTTTGTGCTCGTAGGGCACGAGAGAGAAGAGTGGAGTGGGGGCTGTCCACTGCCCTTCTGATTCATTTTTTAAAGGTTTGTTCTGGTCACTCTCATTTTATTAAGACTTAGTTAGGGGAACTGTCTGAGAGAATATGTCAAGATCTTTGATGTTTGCCATTAAGGGAAATAAAATGGAATGTTCTCCTGTCCACGGTTCTTCTTTCTTCTGTTACCGATCCAGTATTTTTCCCCCATGTTCAGCTTGTGGCGTTAAGGATGCTTCGTTGATCTGCAGGGTCGTGTTAACTGTACGTAACAAATGGGCGTGTACTCGTTTTATGGTTGATGAGATCATCGGCAATAGCTTTTTATTTTAATCAGACCCCTCCCCTTTGGTGAGAAGAATTCGGAGGTTCACCGAGTTCCATCATGAGTCTCGTAGAACTCTATTCTTGCTGCTCTGCCCTTTCAAAAAGCAGGCTACCCCCCTCCTCCTCCCTCCGTGTGTGAAGCTCCTGAATCGTTCATTTCAATTTTGGTGCCTATGGTTTGTGATTTTGTGTTGGGAGAGGAGATTTAGTGGGCCTCCCACTCTGCGTGTGTGCCTTCTCTTAGACCCCACCGCAAGGGCAGTTTCGAGTGTGTGCTTGTTCCGCCTGCCGTGGTGGGGTGCCCGTCCACCCTCAGATCTGGTTTTTGCCACGGGCGTTGCTGGGCTCGTTGGTGTTGACAGCATGATCGGGGTCCCCATAACTCGGGTGTTCAGCCGTCCCAAAGTGTAGTCTATTGGAAAAAACCTGGAACCTCCCAATGCCCTCTCTCCCTGTGTGGCATTGGAAGCCACAAGATAATTGCTGTTGTTGTTGGATCCCCAGGCCTGACACAAGAGATCTGCTCTCTCCCCTCTGCTTGGCCTGTTGATTGGTTCTACATTACCTCTCCCTTTTTTGGCGTTACCTGTTCATTTCTGCTTATATTCTTGACGAGAAATCTTCTCAGCCAATGATTTTTGCATTGTGGTTGCATTTGGAGGATGACTTGGATTCAGTTTAAAATCTGGATCGCCACCAAACCCTGAATTAGATATGCCATCATATAGGTAATTCGATATAGGAGAGCTTGTTGTCAGCTAGATACGATCCGCCTGTGGATTTGCTGTTTAATGAGGTTCCCTCGGAGAGGGGCAAAGTGCGGGTTCTTTTGAGTTTCTCTCTTCACGGGAAACGGGGACAGGGCGCAGTCCAGGCCTGTCCCAAGCTTGTTGGCTCCACTGGTTCTTGCTGAGGGGTTCTTGTGGGTGTGAACAACCCACCGCAGCTCCACCACGCTGGTGTGTATATGTGTTTGTCCTGTGATTCTTTCCTGTGTGCGGAGGAATGATCCTTGTCTTGGTGTTGGTGGACTTCGATGCTCCCACCATGCTCCTTGTTTGATTCAGTTTTCTTGGTTGGTCATTTTTTGGTGCTCTCCGGCATGTGATTGCGCATCTCGCAGTACTGGCACCTTGTGGCTCCTGCAGGCGCGCTCTTCAGGAGTCATGAATGCTTGGCCTCCTTCCTTCATCCTCAGTCGGAGTACTTTCTGTATCTTTTTGTGTTTCTGGTTTGTTCGCTGTCAGTTGCGCCCCCTGTCGATTACTGATTAGCAGGTTCCATGAAAAACTTACAGGAAAAAATGTTGGGTTCGCAAACTGGTAGCATGGAATGCATTTTCTTCTCTCGCAGCCTCTGCTGTGGCTAGAGCCTAATGCGTGTGTACGCCCTCTTTCTCCGCTCGCGCTCTTCTTGACTCAAGGCAGACAAAGGTCAAAAGAGCGTAAATCTGGGGTGATTTCTTGGACTGTCTGTATGGATCAGCGCTGTGTGTGTACGAAAATTCATGGCACCACAGATAAAGATATACCAGTGTTTGTCTCTTTTGTTAAGAAGGCCTGGTTTTATCTGATCTTGGTCTTATAGATAGGGCTTGTACCCACATCTGGAGGCGCCGACACCTCGTACTATGAGTGGAAGATGATTTTGTACAAGGACCGCCATTCTACTGTATATTATTGTACGCTTGGGCTGCTTTGCTGACGAGTGTATAATACTCTGAATCATAGATTGGTTCATGTGTTAGTAACGACTGCCTCTCTCTCTCATATCAGACAGTTATCAAATTTTTTCATTTATCTGTTCACGTCCCAAAGTGAACTTATCTATGTTTCTCACCTTCTCAAGCGCTAAGCGCATTTTAAGGTACCGTAAAGATTATCCTAAACAGGTATTATTCAAACAGGTAACAAGATACTGTCAGAATGCATAGAGATGGTAAAATATTTTTAAACAGCAAGGACATTTGTCTATGTCATGACAGTGCTAATCTAAGAGGGAGGGAGAGGGTTATGAGGAGTTAGGGGAAATCTTTGGCTTGGTCATGCGGACACTTTTTGTTTGTTTGTTTGTTTTTTGAGACAAGAGTCTTGCTCTTTTGCCCAGGCTAGAGCGCAGTGGTGCAATCTCGGTTCACTGCAACCTCCACCTCCTGGGTTCAAGCAATTCTCCTGCCTCAGCCTCCTGAGTGGCTGGGACGACAAGTGCTCACCACCACGCCCAGCTAATTTTTGTATTTTTAGTAGTTTATTTTAGTAGTATTTTTACTACTTTATTTTTAGTAGTATTTTTATTTTAGACGGGGTTTCACCATGTTGGCCAGGCTGGTCTTAAACTCCTGACCTCAAGTGGTCCGCCCGCCTTGGCCTCTCAACATGCTGCGGTTACCGGTGTGAGCCACCGCGCCAACCTACTTATTTTCTAATTATTCTCACCTGGATGAGATGGCTTACACCTGTAAGCCCAGCAATGTGAGAGGCTGAGGAGGGGTATTCTCAAATTGTACTATATGCCTTACGGGCTTTTCTACATTAATATATCCCACAAAAATATTTTAAAGATATATACAGGGGAAAAAAAACACCTATTCAGTCACTGGCAATATTAGGAAGATATACTATAGTCAACATTTGCTTACTGATTTAGCAAATTTCAGAATTATGGGACAGAGACGCATTTTAAGAAGTTACTTATCAGCAAGGACATGATAGGAAACCCCTGAGCGGTAAGGCCAGGGTCTCCCCCGAACTTTCCAGTAACCTGCTGCCAAACTCACGCCACGGACGCCCCGTGTCTCCCCCCGGCCTGGGCCGGCAGCGCTGAACTGTTACATTAAATACGGGCTCGTGGATTACCATGAACACTAAACCGCTTCGTCATTTTTTCCCCCCATAAACTGAGTCATTAAAAAACCAAAACAGTTAAATTCCGGGAGGCTTCAGTTCTCTGAACACAGCCGGACTTTAAGAGTGGGCTGTGGGCGCCTCGGGTCTCTTAAGGACTCGGCCTCCAACAAAAATGAACTAGGAGCAAAGATATCAGCGAGAACCTCAACTGCCGGCCCCATTTACTACCCTCATTAAAGCCCACGCCAATGGAGGGCCCCGCCCGGAGCGCCACGGGCAGGCCCGGCCCCCAGCCCCGGGAGGGGCAGGAACTCCGGGGTCCTTCGGCTTCAGAGCCTCGGATGCGGGAGCCCAAGGAAGGCCCCGGCAGGGGTTCGGCGTGCGGGGCGCCCACAGAGCGGGCAGCTGCCAGGCCTGGGGGCAGGGACGCGGACCCCTACGTCTCCGGCCCGCCCTGGACCTTCCTCTCCCGGGAGCCAGCACGCCGAGCACTTCTAGCCGCCCAATGCAGCGTCTCATCCGCCGCTCAGGTGCCTCAGCGCACTCAGCCCCTTCCGCCCGCCGCAGCGCCACATGGCGTATGACCAGCGCGGGGCTGGCGAGGGACCCCAATTAACCCGACGTAGGGCGCGAGGCAGGGCTTGCTGTGACGACCACCACTCCTATTGGTCAGCGAGAACGGCAACGTCCTCTGCGAT